TTTTACGACGCCATCTTGCTCGAGTTACTTCTAGATTAATGATTTGATGCAGTTTCTTGTCCTTTATGTCTTTTTTATGCCAGTTTAAGGATAATTTGTTTGGATTTTGTCCTTGATATAGCCCGATATTCAATTAATATGTGAGATTAACAGAATATTAGAAAACAAAATGTTCCCAACGAAATTAGAAAAACCACATAATATTAAGAATGGAAAAGTTTTTTTTATGTCTCTATACATATACACCAGTCTAAAAAAATATAGTCTAGATTAATGGCAGTATTGATTAAGACAGTCTTTGTAGTGCATTCTCAGATTTGTAACATGTGCAAGATACCTATCTTTTATTTTTTTATTAATAAAAAGGAAATGTTCCTACATGACCATATAAGTGGTGGAATACAAGTGAGAAATTTCCTGAATAAAAATTTGCCATCAAATGTCATAAACGCAATCTGTTTGCATAGAAACTACTATAACCTCATTTTTTTAATTCACTGTAATCTACGAGTATTTTTCTTAATTATTCTTAATTAACTGTAAATATAATTTAAAAAAATCACTTGAGTTTCATACTCATTTTACATTTTTTCATATATGTACAGGGCGACTCAAGTTTTAGAGCCGGCGCAAAAATAAACATTTGTAACTGATTAATAAAGAAATTTGATAGTATAAACGATAGAAGATTAAACACACTTTAATTTGATGTTTTGATACTGTACAAAATTTTTATCGTAGGTATGGCAGTGAGACTTTAAAAATTAAATTTAGAGAACAAAATTTCAATTAATTGGAATATTTTCTGATTATAATATATAACCTAATTATTTACATGATAAATTTTTGATTTTTTTCTGTGGTAGGTATTCGTGAAAATAGAAAAATAAAAAAACATTTATGACGTACCTACTCGAGTTTTATTGTCACTCTATAGTCAATGCATTAACAGCATATCATCCCAAACTTGGTCATAAATTACCAGAATTCCCAATTTCCAATGTTAAAATGATAATTACTCAAAATCTATCAGCTTTTACATTATTCAATTTTTACAGTTACTATTAGAAAAAATCAAGGAATTTTATCATGTATAAAAGATTACAATTAATTAAAAAAATGTTTTTTCAAATTTGGTTTTTAGGGGTTTCACTGAAATACCTACGCTAAAAATTTTGAAAAATATTAAAGCATCAAACTGAATACCTATAATCCTCTATCGTTTGCACTAGCAATTTTTTTTAATCAATTAGAAATATTTATTTTTGCGCTGGCCCTAAAACTTAGAACACTGTACAATAAGCGGCAAAATTATGGAATAATCTTATTTATTAAAAATGAAAATATTTTGTTTTGACAAAAATGCTCAAACAGGTTAATTTTCTTTTTAAAAATACAAAATTCTCAAATTGATTTAAAATGTTGTTTGTTTTTTTGTTGTTATTATTTCAATTTTTAGATGATTTTTTTTCGAACACTTTAATTAGGAGTAATATTTTGGTGTTGTCATTTCGGAAATTAAAAAAATTATCCAATTGGCTAGAAAATGTGGGTTACCATTTTAAAAAAATATCGATGACATCATTACCTACTCAAAAACCAAAAGGTGTAAAAACAAAAAAGTTGAAAATTGAATATTTTGTAAAAAGAAAATTAAGCATTTTTGCCAAAACACAATATTTTCAGTTTTAAGAAGATTATTCCATAATTTTGCCACTCATCCACTGTATACATATACAGGCTGTTTCAGAACTCGTGCCCAAGAGAAAAATGCCATGTAAGGTAAGATACCAGGAACGTAGAAAAAATGTTAACTATAAAAATGTAGAAGTAATGGGGGTTTTAATTTGAACTTTGACCCTATTTTATTATTGGAAAATTAATTTTCTACATGTTTTTTTTTTGCTGCAGGCTATTAGAAGAAGCTGTATCCTAAATTGTAACTATGTTTAACGTTATTTGTGGCTTTTGTTGGCAAAATTTTTGTACCTTTACTAAATAATAATTATGAAAAAACATGTACATACAAGATCATCAGACATATTAAATAGAGATAAAAATGGGTCAAATGTTGAAAAATAAATGTCAACATTTTTTTAAACATTTTTTCCAAGTTCTTGTTATCTTATCGTATTTAAAATTTTTCTCTGGGGCTCGAGTTCTGAAACACTCTGTATATAGAAATACATGAAGAAATGTCATAAAAACCTACTTCTTGAAATACTTTTTCTGGACAGTTGAAGAAACCGTTTCAAGTGCAAAGCGGCTCCTAAAAACAATAACCGTTATGACTCTACCGCAGTTTATAATTGACAGTACTTAGTGTTGGCAAAGTTAATTTGCATAGTTAAAGCGTCCGCATTCATCTCCTTCAAATTGCCGACGAGATGGATGCACTGGGTCCATTTTCGCGAAGATATGAGTGTAGAGGGAAACACTTGAAGTTAAATGTGTCATCTCTCATAATTGCCTTCTTGGATTGTTTCATTAGCGACATCGTTAAAACTAACGACTCTCGAGTTGCAAGCTTGTCGACGGAAATTATATCTCGTTCGCTCCAAGCTTGACGTTGCGTCACGACTGACGAAAAACTTCGTCTATTAATTTCCTCGTTTGTACGATTATTTTTCTTTTATTGATTCTGCTTTGGCTCTAGTGGTGAGCAGCAGCGCCATTATTTATGCAAAGGTCTGGCTTAATAGTGAGCAAGTTAATGCTCTTAATGTAGTAGTCTGCATTCAGATCGGTGTTCTAGCGTTATAGTGGTAATTAACGTTGTGGTTACCGGTAATCAGTCTCGAACCACTTCAAAACGACTCTTTTGGGATTCGCATTAGTTAACAACCACTACCAATTTACCAAGCCTATATTAAGAGAATAATTAATTCATAAATATAGCCAAAAATGCTGAGAAATGGTAGAATTATGTAAAATGACTTGAAATTTATGTAAAAGGCAAATTTATCTGTACGCAAATTTCCGTTCTTATCAAATAATCCCCTGAATATAAGTTTGTTGGTAATAAGTATCGTCTTGTCCGAAAATTTCTATTATTTACAAAAACGTTCTTCCAAAAAACTATACAGGGCTTTCATTTCAAAAGGATCCAGTCTCAGTAACTTTTGACATTGGGTAAATGGATTTTCAAGCAAAAACAGGTCGATTAGGATCCCGAGGGGGAAGTTGAAAACCAACATTAGTTACAGTTTAAGTTTCCTCCCCTAGTCGCTAGCCACCCCTACTTTAAAATTTTAAACCCCCTACTTTTTGAAACATTTTCAGAAAGGGAATGAATGAGCGTATCTAACTTTCAAAGAATTTTTTTTTATCGATTTGTTTTTCAGTTAGGGGTGGATTTATTTTTGAAAATTTCAGTCGTAGTAGCTTTTGATTAAACTCTATTTAATTTAAATAAAAAATATGTCGATTTAAGTTGCGATGGGAGAGTTTAAAACTAACATTAAATACGTTTTAGGTTTCATCCCCTAGTCACTAACCACTCTTACTTTAAAATTTTAAAGCGCCCCTCCAACTTTTTGAAACATTTTTGGAAGGGGTGGAAAAAAGCTTATCTAATCGTAAATAAAAAAAATATTTTGTCGATTCGTTTTTGAGTTAGGGGTAGTTTATTTTAGAAATTTCTATCAGTCCTAGTAGCCTTTAACTTTGATTTTGATTATGTGTCATCTAATACATTTTATTAAGAAGGCGGTGGTTTCAACAATTCAGCGAAAATTTACCATTTGACAGTTCAGTTAATTGAAAAATTACTTTTATTTAAATTAAATTGTTTGGATCAAGGGTTACTAGGACTAAAATTTCAAAAACTAATCCACCCTTAACTAAAAAACTAAAAACGGATGAAACTTAAGATGTAACTAATGTTTGGATGCTTTTGAGATAAAAGCCCTGTATATAAAATAAAAACTAACATTTAAAAATTTCAAAATGGTCTATTAGCTTTAGGTCGCGAAAACGTTATAATGTTATAAACATATGGTTTTCTAGACGTAAAATCACGATGCGACTGGAGAATTATACTCTACGACGAGTATAATTCTCGAGATACTCTCATATCCTAGGTAGGTCGAGCTTATTCCATATCTGATGGCGAACTGACAGTGACAGAAAAGACACTCTCTAAAAATTTTGAAGACAAGGATTGTTAGGCATATCATTTTTGAAAATTCTTTTCATGCGTGAACAATTTAATAATTTGTTCATCATCTTATGTATGAGTACCTACTTATTATAATTTTTTAAAAAATAACAGTGGTTTTGAAATTTTATTTCATACGACGCCTATCAACAATATTTTTTTTAATAGTAAACATATGTTTAGTGTCAAAATTCAGTCATTTTTGACAACGTCAGTTCGCCACCAGATTTGGAACAAGCCCTATTTAAAGCATTTCCGAGAGTTTATCTTGATACATCTTCAAAAAATAATCTCAGATTTGACGATATTCTATCATTCAAAAAAACTAGAAATACCTTTTCATCCGAAACTATAAGTATGATTCTAGTTTATCTATTTTAATCACTTACTAACTAAAAGCGTTGTATTTTTTTAAAGGGTGAACAAACTGAGAAGATTATTCAATTCTTCAAAATTTGTAATCGAGTTCGCATCGGAATATGTATTATTGATTGTATCTTACAGGCGCAGGCCTCGTAAAATCACGTGAAACACCCTGTATAATGAAGCTACTGGTTCTCTCAATCCTACAAAATCGTTAGAAAGATACCATAAAGAATATAAACACTTTTGTGACTGGAAAAGGAAAAATATAGTCAGTGAAAATAGTTTTTACTGGACCTAATACCGTAAAGTCTCATTTTCCGGATTCAAATTATTAACTTAAACATAGGAATTACGATGCAGTATGAAATAAAAGTTTTTTTTAATACGTAATGCATTTGAAAAAATTTAACTTAACTGTTTTGTATTTTTTGTATTTAGGTTATATTGCTCAAGCGAAGAGAAATAAAACACGCAGTAAAAATTTCTAAATATATTTACATCAAAAAGTATGCCTAACTAGTGAAAAATAACAAAGAATATTTCAAGTAATAAGTAATTAATAAGAAAATTTACATCTGTTGGGTAGAATTGCCATTCCATGTATTATTTTCATCATCACTATCATTTTTGTTAGATAAACGGTGAATATTCCCTTGCCTTCTAATCACAGTTGTTTCTCCAGCTCTTCGAACTTTAGGTTGCGCCCTAAAACAATCATATTATACCGGGTGTTAGGAAATGGTTCAGTAAAAATTTGAATGTAGGTACAGAATGGAAAAAGGAATCGACAATGTAAAAATTCGTGTATACCGAAAATGTATCGATTTCCCAAATAATCGTTTTGAAATTATGGTCCCAAATTTTGAGAACCGCTCAACTGGGATGATAAAAATTAGTGTGCACTTTAAAAATATTGACAAGACGGCAGATGTAAGTTTGTTTCTTAGTCCAAAGTCCACCTAGTTACTTACGGTTTAACTTTCTGAGCTTGAACCCCAGAGTTCAAACCGCGCTGAAAGCAAATCTTTTTTTAATTTAATCTGTGTAAATTAAGCAAAATAACTAAAATCTTGTTCGTCTTAGTTATTATGTGTGAAGTTATATGAAGGCAAAAATACAGAATGGTCCACAAGTCTGGAAACGATTTTATTCTAGCGAAACTATCTATTTTTCTGGTAAATAAATTTATAGGTGTGCAATGGCTATAAAATGCTATTAAAAAAAAATTTTGAATATTAATTGTTTGTTTATAATTACGAGATAAACATAGTAACATTTTTTTTAATGGAAACCTACCACATTTTTAGACAACGAGCTTGTTACAAGAATTGTTGCCATGCAATTTTTTATGCAAACAACACTTTTTTGTTAAAAAGATGTGATTTGTTGAAATTTGCAAAATTGATTCAGTTGTATTAGGTTCATGTACACTTAAAAGTTTTCAAATAAATTTGGGAACAAATTTACAACAAAGCTAATAATTTCACTCAGAAATGAACACACTAGCAATGGATTTGGAAAATACTCAAAACGCACCGCCGCTACCATGACAGTCTTGCATACATTAGGTTAACTTTAAGTATTAATAAACTATAAGCACACAGTGGCACAAATAAGTTGTTTCTGAAGAAAGTATACACCCTGGGCATGACACGTTCATATAAAATTTTTTGCTAAACTATTCCGTAACACCCTATATATTCCAAAGACCAAACCAAACAAACCTGTGATCACTAGATGACTCAGCAGCTCGTTTATTGTGATTATCGTTGTTAGTACTAGGTGCGGGAGCCGATCCAAACACAAAAGTCTTCAAATATCCCAAAAGAGTCAAAATTGGGGTAATCAAAGTCCATAAGAATCCTGTAAATCCCCCTTCAGCATTAGTAGCAACTACTCCTCTGTTAACCGGCAAAATCAAAATAACAGCAGTCGGAACAAGTCCTAATTGTAACAATGTTTGACTGTTCTCTGCTTCTGTAAACTCTCTTCTGGGAAACGTCGTTGAAAGAGTGTAATTGTTAAACGGCAGATGCAAATTAGCTTTAATATGAGCGTGGACACTTGCTAAAGTGTCACTGCTTGCAAAATCGTTTGTGGCCGTCCTGCCATCTGGCATTCGGAATTGCAACCTTGCTGTGTTTGTGTTCACTGGTTTTGGAGATGATTGCGATGAATGGGGCTGAGATTGTGGCTGATTAGTAGCTGGAGAGAACTTAGCAGCTCTTTCAGCTTTGTCTTGAGCTATTTGAGCTAAGACTCTTTCACGAGCTGCTTGACTTTCGCGCTTTTCTTTTTCACGTTCCTCAAGAACTTGTTTCAGTTCTTGGTCGTCCTGCCAACGTTTCAGTTGTTGAACATTCTGGCCCATTTTTCGACGCTCAAGCTCTTTTTCACGTTCTTTCTGCAAAGGAAAAATGTACGTTTTTCAAATTGTTATGCCATTATTAGAATAGGTGACAGGTTTTTGCACTATAAATTTTGAACTTAAGAATGTCAAATAAACTTCAATTTAAATAATCTGAAAAAAGCAAACAAATAAGCAGTCACGTGCAATCGGAGAAACATTTGATTGTTATGTTCTATTTCTTTTGCTAAAAGCATGCTATTTAAAAGCTGTTCAAAAGTTGTGTAAAAAATACCTATTACCCCCTTTATGTTAGGCAACCAAATATACATCAGTCAGTATCATTTTACTACAACTTTTTTAAGTGTTATTCAGAAAGCGTAAGATACATTTAAGAAAACATTAATTGTATTTCAGATTAGTCAATTGTATTTCAGAAAGTGTTAATTGTAATTCAAAACAGTAAAATGAGTTTCAGAAATTATCAAATATAATTCAGATTAGTTAATTTAATTTTCGAAAGCGTAAATTGGAATTCAGATTAATCAATTGTATTTCAGAAAGTGTTAATTATAATTCAGAGTTTGTCATTTGTAACTGAGAATTCGTCAATTGTAATTCAGAATTCGTTATTTTTATTTAAAAATTACATTACCAAAATTTCTTTGAAAATAAAATATCTTATATATTTTGTAAAATACCAAGTTTATGTAACTCTTTAATTCTGATAATAAAATAATTCGCGTTTATGTGTTAACTTCATTTTGAGATAACAGCAAGTTACTCATCTGAATTATATTTCATATTTTCTGGATTACATAAAATTGAATATTTACTGTTCTGAATTACATGTAATGGTTTCTGAATTACAATTATTACTTTACGAAATACAATTTGAATTCCAATTTATACTTTCTGAAATTAAATTAACTAATCTGAATTACATCTCATGGTTTCTGAAACTCATTTTACTCTTCTGAATTACAATTAACACTTTCTGAAAGACAATTGACTAATCTAAATTACAATTTACTCTTTCTGAAACTAAATTGACTAATCTGAATTACATGTGGTGGTCTCTGAATTACACTTGAAAAAGGTGTAGAGTTTCTAATAAAGAAGAAGTGGAAGTGTTTTGAAAATTTGTAAAAATCAAATTACAAGATTTTTAAAAATTTGTCTGCTTAGTAAAAAATGTCACAACACAAGTAATGTGTTGTTTCCAAAAAATTAAGTGTCTAACGCAAATAAAAATGTACCACTTTTAAATAATTAAAAAATTAATTAATGAGTTTCTACACATCTACCTCAAACTCCTCTTTTCTTTTTTCTTCTCTCTTCTGCTCAACCAACTGTTTAGCTCTCTCAACTTTTTCTTCAACTGTTAAATCCTGCTTCTCTTCTGCTTTTGCGGCTTCTTTCACAGCTTGCTGACTAGTTGAAGGCTTTTCATCTTTTTTTATAGTACAAACATCATTTTCACACACCACATTTGCTGGTTTAGTTTGAGGCTGCTGTGACTGTTCATTACTAATAAAATTTTGAGATTGTGCAGCTAGAAGTAGAAGATACAATTAAGCAAAACTATTTTATTTCTAAAGTACTTACACATAGTGGAAAGTCCCCCTTTTTGTAAAATCGAGTTGAGTTTTTCTTGAAAACTTTTAACACCATTCACTTCTGTCACAATTTCAATAGGCAGCCCTTGTTTGCCAATAAAATATATTGAGGGAGTTGGAACTTGCTTATCTATTGTATTAGTTAAGAAAAAACTGATAACATTTCCTACGCAAGGGAATTAGTGTGAAAAAGGATACAAATTTGACTAAACTGTTGATAAGGTACAGAGTCGGTTTCGATTTTGATTGCCACAAAACTGTCACTTCCTAATATTTTCACAATTTCTTCTTTGTCGATTAATTCGGTTATTTGTGATGAGGTTTCATCTTTCCCTATTAAAAAAAAGATATTATGAGAGGTTAGATAATATTTGCATTCTTTACCATAGACGTAAACTACGAATATTGCCTGTTTGGCTTTTGAAGTGACGATTGCTTGGGCGATTTCTCCTTTAAACCAATTCATTTTGATGAAAATTACCACTTATTTTAATTAAAAATGATCTGTTTTTTGTACAAAATGACGTGTTAGATTAGCAGAGTTGCCAACCGTCATCCAACCGTCAAGTAGGGGAATTATTAAACTCGCGCCAAACTCAAATTTGGTTGAATGCGTCAAAAAATACGAGTAAAAATTTGTATTTTAAACAAAATAAATTATTTATTATAAAATTTACCAAAAAAACGTAAATTTATAAAAAAACTACATTTAAAAATTGATATAAGTACTACAGGGTGTTTACGATCTTAAGGTTGAAATTTAAATGAGATGATATTCACTAGAAGAAAACTAATACGCTATACAGGGTTATTCATAAATATGAAGCAATATTTGAACCTCAAAAATGAGCTATAAAATGATGTTAATTTAAATAATAACTCGTGTCCGATCTCTATTGATACGAATTTTACAGCCCTCGGAATGTGGGTATGTAAATTTATTTATTTTTTTGTAATAACTTTGGAACCATTTGACCAAATATTATAAAATTTAGAATAGTTACTTGCGAGAACATACCCTTTAAGCTAGTAATTACGAAAACCCGATACATTTACACAATTTTCGGTTTTAGCAGTTGTAGGTCTTATTTTTGTTTTTTCGTTTTTTTGGCCTCTTAACATTATTTTTTTTTTTTTGGTCAAGACAATAGAGTAATCAATTTTGAATAAAAAACGCATAACCTTTAATACCTCTAAAATAAACCGTTTTAAAGATATTTTAATTTAAAATGAGAACTACACAACACTGAAAGCAAAAAGTATGAATTTTGAATGAGTGATATCCAAGGCAACAAATGACCATGGTCACATATTTTGCTGTCAGGCACTGTCAGGCATCTGTCAACTTGAGATTGGACGATTATTACACTTAATCGAAAATATTTAATAAAAGAGTTTACCTCAAACTCCAAACATAACTTAGAATAAATCCAAATGGATCTCGTAGCATTTAATTCATAAAAAATTGACAAAAATTTATCGTTAAAGTTAACAGATGCCTGACAGGGATTTATGTGACCATGGTCATTGGTTGCCGTGGATACCACTTATTCAAAATTCATGTTTTTCGTTCTCAGCGTTGTGCAGTTCTCACTTTAAATTAAAATATCGTTAAAACGGTCCATTTTAGTAGTATAAAATGTTATGCGTATTTTAATCAAAATTGATTACTCTTTAGATTTAAGCAATAAAAAATTAGTGTTAAGAAGCCAAAAAAACTGAAAAACATAGAAAATGTGACCTGCAACTGCTGAAACCGGAAATTGAGTAAATGTATCCGGTTTTCGTAATTACTAGCTTAAAGGGTATGTTCCCGCAAGTAAGTAGTCCAAATTTTATAATATTTGGTCAAATGGTTCCAAAGTTATTACAAAAAAAAATAAATTTCCATACCCACATTCCGAGGGCTGTAAAATTCGTATCAATAGAGATCGGACACGAGTTATTATTTAAATTAACATCATTTTATAGGTCATTCTTGAGGTTCAAAGATTGCTTCAAATTTATGAATAACCGTGTATGTATTCCAATAATTTCAAATTGTTGTTTAAAATTAACAACACGTTTTATATTGACCATTAGATTTCAACCAAGATTATGACAAATAAGTGATCAAAAGTTTTTGTTACCAAAGGAACACAAAAGACTATTAAACACTAAGTTGCAAAAAAAATTGATCACAGACTAATTTTATAGTTTTTCTTTTATGTACAGTAAATATACAGGCTGATTCACGTAAAATGACGACTCTTGTTGCAAATATTAAATAATGCAACTCAAAATACATTCCACACATGTAAGAGTGTACTTTGTAATTTATTTTATTTCTGTTAGGCTTGTTATCTCATGTGAAAGACTGTGTAATAACAGTAGATTGTTTTACAGGTAAAGAAAAACTGAAAGTTTACTAGCGAGTGAATTACATTTTCACGAAGTTTTAAACCTTCAGTTTTCTTACGAGTTGAACATGCAATTTTTTTGTCTATTCAGTGGAAAAGTTTGAATAATAAAGTAGTTTTTTACACATATTTCTGGCTTTAATCACAGATGTGCCTTTACAATCATGCATCACACATGAATCTCTCAGATAAAGGAAGCTTTGCTCAAAGACCATGTAACAACAACAAACCACTTGTAAACAATTCCATAGGATGTAGAAGAATCTTCGCAGTATTTCCTCAATTTTTTTGAAGGTTTCTTTATTAATTTTTCACGTAAAGAATAATGTGTTTGACTGTTTAATCAAGACATCATGATTTATAAGGGTGTCATTTTTTACGTTTGTGACTGCTACAAATTATAAGAATGTGAAAATGAAAGAATGAAATAAACTCTAAAAGTGTATGTAGAGTTAGTTTAATAAACAGACAGCTTACGTCAAATAATTTATTTTTTCTTTGATACTAAATAAGTAACACTTTATTAGTCTAATGGAAACCAAGGTACAAGGTAACGGAGACATTTATATGCCGAAAATGCGGTTTTCAATGATGTTTCTTTTGCAGAAGTACATATCATAACAACTTTAGCTACTACTTTGTCACTATGCACAGCTTGTCTAAGTTTCTCCGTCAGGAGTTTAGTATCAAAAGTGCCTGCTTCTGTCATTAAATGTGTTTTGGTAAGAATACAATAAGCCATTTTTGCTATATCAGAATCTTTTATTTTTTGTCCGCCTAGCGCAACACAGTCTGCTATATCTGGATTTTTAACTTCATTTTCAAAACAAAGAAATGTCTAAAACAACAAATTTTTACTAAGATAAAAATACAATTTTTTTCTTACCGGTATTAAAACAACGAGTGTTATTAAAAAGCAAATTTTCTTCATTGTGATTGTCAAATAAGTGGAATAAGTTAAAGCATAGCTCTTAAATATTATAAATTTTAGTTTAAAATTAATAACGCGTTTTATATTGGTCATTACAGATTTCATTTAAGATTACAGAGAATAACTGAACATATGTATTTTTATGCGATAGAGTCATAAACGACTAAAATCACGTTGCTACGAAATAATATGTAATCTCAGATTTAATTTTTTTTATATACAGGGCTGTTCCATTTTTTTGTTACAAATTTAACCAGGTGATAGAATATTCAATTCTAAGATAAAAGTTTCCTATAAACATACAGGCTGTCCCAACGGTCCGAAAAAGCTCGATAACTTGTTTATTTTAAGAGATATTGACTTTTTCTTTTTTTTAGATTATAGCTGCGTTTTTGATGTACATTTTCAAAATATTACGGTTTATATACATGTGTCCCAATATTAAAAAAACACTAAAGTTATGTTTTTTTAAATGGAATCTACTGAGTTTGATTTTATTTTTGGATTCTACGCTAAATTACAAATAACTTTTATAGAGGTTGTTTTCATTTATCTGTTATCAATTTTGATTTGTGGCGCTTTTTTAACAGAATTTTTTAAATGCAGAGGTCTGTCTAAAAATTCGTAACTTCTAAATGCTTGCACGCAACTTAAATTAAGTAACGCCGTTTGATTCCTGAAGGTTTGCCGCATCTTTTAAGTGTTTACTCAACAACCTGCTCAGTGGCATGTGCCTACTGCGATTTTTTAAACATGACAAATTAAAAATGTCAAAAACTCATTTTTTCCAAATGGCACCCTGTATTTATTATTGTACCAATCAAAAGATCTTTTGACAAGCTTTCCATCAATATAAGGTTTGTATAGTCTAGTGTAAAATTCTAAATTGCTATCCTAAATTAACTAAATTTCGATAAACTTTTCTGTTTTGGACAATAAAAATCGAGTGGGCTTCTGTCATTGTTACAATCTATCAATTTTATTGTGAAGATTATAAGTCCCAAAATGAATTTTACTCGTCAAGACCTCATTAACATGGTATACAGTCTTGGTGAAGCGGATCGTAATATTTTATTGGCTTAAAGAATCTACAAATAAAAATACCCAAATGCAAGACTGCCGCAAAGTGTTGCATTTAAAAAATTGTATAAAAATGTATATAAATTGAGACCAACAACTTCGGAGGATATGAAACAAAGAATAAGCAATACATTCCATTTAATAAATGCAGATATGCTAAGTCGTGTTAGACTATCTTTTAGACGAAGACTGCATACTTGTATTGAAAAAAATGGTAATATTTTTGAGCATCTGTTATAAAGTATATTGTAAAATAGCTTTAATGTTTTGTTTTTTTTTTGTTTGTTAAAGTTTTTACGTTTTTCTACTAAATTGTGTTAATACTGCTTTGCGATATGTTAGATTTTGCCTAATTTTCTCTGTAACTCAATTTTGCTCAATATTGTACATTTTCTTGCAGCAAAGAATTTCCATTTCCATACTTTTGTTTATTTTCTGTCCTAATTTTTTTTTTGCATAAGGCCCACTCGATTTTTATTGTTCAAAACAGAAATTTTTTTCAAAATTTAGTTAATTTAGGATAGCAATTTAGAATTTTACACTAGACTATACAAACCTTATATTGATGGAAAGCTTGTCAAAAGATCTTTTGATTGGTACAATAATAAATAGAGGATGCCATTTGAAAAAAATGAGTTTTTGACATTTTTATTTTGTCATGTTTAAGAAATCGTAGTAGGCACATGCCACTGAGCAGGTTGTTGAGTAAACACTTAAAAGATGCGGCAAACATTCAGGAATCAAATGGCGTTACTTACTTTAACTTGTGTGCAAGCATTTAGAAAATAAGAATTTTTAGACAGACCCCTGCATTTAAAAAATTCTGGTAAAAATGCGCCACAAATCAAAATTGATAACAGATAAATGAAAACAACCTGTATAAAAGTTATTTGTAATTTAGCGTAGAATCCAAAAATAAAATCAAACTGAGTAGATTCCATTTAAAAAAACATAACTTTAGTGTTTTTTTTAATATTGGGACAGCCTGAATATAAACCGCAATATTTTAAAATGTACATCAAAAACGCAGCTATAATCTAAAAAAAAGAAAATAATACCTCTTAAAATAAACAAGTTATCGAGCTTTTTCGGACCGTTGGGACAGCCTGTATATCGAAAAATTTTATATAAGGGAGCCACTTTTTTCCAATATTTCAGAAACCATCGTGGATAATATTACAAAATTTGGTACAACTGATAACCTTTATACAGCCAAATGAATTCAAAGATAAAATGTCGAAATTTTTACTCAGGGGGGTCCTAAACTGGGGGGTTTAGGGTAAAAAGTACCGTAACGATTTTGGCGGTTCGTTTTTGCCACTTTCAGCCACAAAATTCTAAATTTCATAGTTTTTCACAAAAAGAGGTCTCTTGCGTTTTTCGATAAAACTTACCGTTTTTGAGTAAAATCAGTTTACAATTTGTCTTACATAAAAAGGATAAAAAATAAAAATTAAATTTGTTTCACCGTTTAAGAGACAAGTGATTAAGCTTTCGACAACTGATCTTTAAACGCGTCCAGGTGTTTAAAACTAATCAGCTGTACCAACTCTTGTAATTTTATCTATTCTGCAATAGTGGGAAAACCCCATTAAAAACGCATCTCTTTCAAGAGGTGTAGCTCGCTTACGTAACATTTTTTGATACATGATCATAGGAAACTTTTGTCTTAAAATTGAATATTCTATCACCTGTTTAAGTTTGTAACAATAAAAACGGAACACCTTGTATACCAGGTGTCGGAAAAATTTTTGGAGGTGGTTCCTTTATACAAAATAAGAAAAAGACGTTTCTATAAACCTATGTTCGGAAATGTTTCTGGGGGCTAAAGTATAAATCGACCTTATATGAAAAAATTTACTGCGTGGGTTGGTTTTCAGAATTAAAAGATCGGTGTACAGTTAAGTAAAATCAGATTTTTCTGAAAAGCGGTACGAACAAAAAAACACAGAAAACATTTTTTGAAAAAATTAGCCAATAAATTCGAATTTGTCAAAAAATATTCAAAAAACTTCTTTCAAAGCAAATCTTTACTTTGACTCCAATGCCTTCGCCTTCTCTAATTAGGGTATACAATTTTTTATATTACCAATAAACTCAGCGCCAAAAAAAAATTATGTAAGATGACCATACGCATTTCATAAAATAATAAGATAAATAATATAAATAATAAGATAATGTGTAAAGTCTGTTTTTTTTATGGAAATGCCAAACAGTCTTAACGTTGGCATCACTAGTAAATTCATTCATGGTAATTTTAATAAATGAAGTTGACAGTTCCGGTTTTTCGAATTAATTTGAAAACAATGTCATTAACCGTCAACACAAAAAATCGTTTAAGAAAATTTAGAGACGAAAAACCAAAAAAGAAACATATTAAAGGTGAATTATTACTATTGCAGATACAATGAATGGAAAAAGGAAATGGAATGAGAAAAATCGGGTTAAAGTTGCATTGTCAACAGCGAATCCTCCTCAAATTCATTGGACAATTCGGTATATTCGGTACATTAACAGTTTTTCGAAATTTGGAAACGAATAATTCGCAAGCAGGAAGTTAGAAAAAGGACCCGTTAAAATGTAGACGCAATTTGTAATGCAGGTTTGCTAAATATTCTTAATTTTTAGCAAAAAATTGACAAGAATACAAAATAAACATGAATGAGAAAGAACCTCAGAAAGAACGCAATTAAATTAGTGTCTTGTGCATCGTTTTTGAAGAACGAGTTGAAAAAGTAACAATTTTGAAACTAAAGCTGAAGAAGAATTTATAAAATGCATCCACTTTGAGCTCATTTCAATAAATTACACAAAATTTATTGCCAGTCATCATAATACCCACTTGTATCTTTTGCTAAATAACTTTTTTCTGTAAATACATCCTTTTTCTTCAAAGTTTTAGTAGCAAGAATCTCATTTTTATCCACAACATTGTACTTACTTGCGGTGTGTTTCTGTCAAAATTATTAGCAATGAATTCTGTCTTTAGACCTTAGGTAATGATGTCTGTCCTCAGGTATTCAATTATAGCGCTTTCAAACAGGCACACAAGATTCATAAAAGTCAAAATTTTGACAACATCTCAATTTGAACACATAACCATAATTTTTTAACAAAATTTCTAGGGACAAAAACAAAGAGCAAACAAAATTTGTGGCTATAGAGACAAGCTGCTACCAATTTTTTACCAAAATTTTGACTTGGTAATTTCCATTAAAAAAAACAGACTTTATTTTTTTATCCACAACATAAACACATTTCACCAAACATTTTTTACATGAAAGGGTAGATATTTGGAGTTTTATTTCAAATTTAAAATTTGATTCTATATTAAATAAAAACCAATCCTTTTTATTAAAAAGACTGTTTGTTGAAACTTTTGATTTTTGAACTCTAAATTTTTGTGAAACAAGAAGATTTGTGAAAAAGTAGATCGTAAGCAATTTTTGTTTTAAACTCCACCCTATAGTATCCATTAAAGTTAATTTAATATCGCTATGGATTATTATTGACGACGTTTACTGCACATTCGAACGGCGCCTAACTCGTCGGTGGCGCCGCGACGGTGAGCATCTAAATCAGCCGAAATAAGCTGTTTTGCTTGGCCTAATGTGGGTTTTACTTGTGTTCGAACATCACTCGGCACATACAAACAAAAATTTGCAAAATTCTCCAACGTAAAACAACAACTACATTTTGAAATACTACTACACCCCAAGTAAGTGAAGAAATTATCTAATTTACAATATTTATTGCATGAAAATATTCTATAAAATTTTTGTGAAAATGAACGGTTATTATTTTAAAAAACGTTTTTTGAGTTGAAATCGTTAGAGTACGATTAGATTTCTTAAATTTTGGTGACGTTGTCGTGGTTACAAGAGATGTTCGAAGTAGACAGAGACACCCTTGGGTCCGCAGATCAATACGGGGCGCGTAATTTTACGCCGTAGTCACCCCATACGTTTGGATTTGTACAGTCAGACTTGGAAAACAATTCAAAATTAATTGCTTCATTTTCACAACCAGAGGCTAATGTGGTAAATTTTTCAAATTGACTAGCACATCCAGAATTTATTTTGTTTGAAGGAGGGGCTTTTTGTAAGGGAAGGCTCGTGGTTACATTTTGGTTACCAGTTTTTTAATTTTTCGATAGTTTTTGATCTCGTTTTGATAAGAGATGAGCTATTGAGCGAAAAATTTGCTGAACACAATTTTTTGTTCAATGTTGAGTGGATCAACGAATCTGATTTTTAAAGGATGAATCGACAGTTTGGTTCAAGAGCTGTTTGGAGTGCACTTGACCGAAATGCCAATCAGGGTGAAAATTTGGGGGCTTTTACAAGCAGTAAATCTATTTATCTCATGAAATATAAATTTGGCACGTGTTTTGGAATGTTATCGACTGATGAAACTTGAAGGGTGGGGTGAATAAAGGAAAATAGACTAAATAAATGTAGGAAATATGGATTTGTTGTTGTTGGTTTTGTCGAGTTTATTGCCTCAATTTTTACAATTTCATTACTTAGTACAAATTTAATTTTTAAATAAATTTTATTTTTGACGCATTTTTACCATTGAGCTGGATAAACAAACAGAATTACTACACTACTCGAGTTAAAAATCTTAAAAATTATAAAATACAGGTGCGCCAAAACTCGCGCCCCAGAGAAAAATGCCACTTAAGATAAGATAAAAAATGTTAAAAAAAAATTATTTATAAAAATTTCGAATTTATGAGGGTTTAAAGTTTGCACTTTGACTCTATTTATTTCTGTTGGAAAAATAATTTTCCAAGTTTTTTTGTTATAGGCTATTAAAAGAGGAAACAAGGAAGCTGTATCCTAAATTGTAACTCTGTAACCAGGTTATTTGTGGCTTTTATTGGCAAAATTTTTGTCCCTTTACTAAATAATTGTAAAAAAAACATATACAAGATCATCAGTATCATTAAATAGATATAAAAAATCTCAAATGTCAAAAAATAAATGTCAAAATTTTTTGACAGATAGAATTTTTTAAACATTTTTTTCATGTTCCTGGTATCTTACCTTACTTGAAAATTTGCTCTGAGGAGCGAGTTCTGGCGCACCCTGTATATTTTATTCTTCGACACTGTCAAAATTTACGGTTTTTCACCCGTGTAAGGAAGTGTTGACAACTGTTTGACATTTCTCAATACGAAACGACAGATTATTTTTAACAGATTTAAATCAAGTTTAAGCCTTAATCGAAGAATAAAATGTTGTATTCAACTCATTACACTCGTGGTTTAAAAATCCACTCGGTGAAATAATGCGTCCGATCTACACTCAAACTCGTTGAATAAATAACTATTATTTGTAAACGTCACAAAAGTGACTCTTTTATGACTAAATGTCACAAGTAAAAGAATTACCTATCAGACATCGAGTAAAAATTTTGTTTTTTTGCTTAAACGTTTTTACTCTTACCATGAGATTTAAGAATGTGTCTCTTTCTTGTCTCTTTTGCTGCTTCAGCAATTTCTGGAGAGGTACATTGTAGATCATCAGCATTCGAGATTTTGCACAACTAACTGGAGTAACCATCCACTAGTTAAATCAATTAACACTTTTGAAAATCTCAACATATTGACGTGTACGTACAGGCTGTCTGAAAAGTCGCGCACCTCCGTGACGCTGTGTCATCGGGCGGTTCCCTAGACAACAAGAAAAATGTTAAAAAAATATCTATAAAAATTTCGAAGTTATGAGAATTTAAATTTTGCACTTTAGCTCCATTTATTTCTGTTGGAAAAACAATTTTCCAAGTTTTTTTGCTACAGACTATTAGAAGAGGAAAAAGGAAGCTGTATTCTAAATTGTAAAACTCTGTTTATTGTTATTTGTGACTTTTATTGGCAAAAAACAAATGTAAAAATTTTTGACATATAGAATTTTTTAAACATTTTTTCAGTACTCTGGAGGACTACCCAATTACTCCCTTTCAAGGAGGTGCGCGATTTTCCGTTGTGTTGCTCTTTACTTTCGATCTAAATACGTTTGCAAATAAAATGGTATGTGTTATTTGGAGTAAAAGTGAGTTTATGTGGCTCAAATAAATTATTTGCCTCACTACGTTCGGCAGAATAAACATTCAGCTTTGCCACATAAACTATTACTTTTATTGTAATAACATAATATACCATTGTTAAAATTATTATAACTTAATGATTATACTTACTCGATTATACTCGTATTATTTTTATGGATAACTTTTATAGCAAAAATTTTAATATTTTAAAAATGCACAGCTGCAATAGAGTTAAATAATTGTTTTATTTATTTCACGTAAGTACGAGTTCTACAAACAAGACTATTATAAGCAATTTTTAATTTAAAAAGCCATGAGTAACAAATGTTCACATTAGAATTTTAAATTTTCAATTTTTTTTGTAACAAATTTTGACGGCTTGTTTTTATTTATTATAACAACTGTGAAAATAATAATATTATTACTTAAGTAAGTCTTATACACAGTTTGAATATTAATATTAAAATTAATTGTTAAAGATCACATGAGAAACATGTTAGTTTTGAATCCCACTGTTATTTTAGACACAAATTTGATTTTTAATCGTTAATTTTTATCGACAATTTTCAGTTTGTTTCAGATTAGAAACTATTAAAATTGTAAAAACGGTGGAATCGCCAGGTAAAACAAATCACATGAGAAACATATTAGTTTTAATATTCAGCTTTTGTTTTTTATTATTTTTGACTATTAATTTTTATCTACAATTTTAATTTGTTTTAGATTAAAAGCTATTAAAATTGTAAAAATGGTGGATGCGCTGGATAAAAAAATATATATAAAAAACATGTTAGTTTTAAATTTCAGCTGTTATTTTTTACTAAAATGTAATTTTTGACTGTTAATTTCTATCTACAATCTTTAGTTTGTTGTAGATAAAAAGCTACTCCTATTATAGTCGTCACCAACAATATTTGAGACTCATTATAGAATAAGCCGCTTACTCCCCACGGTGGTTCATGGGGCTTGCGGTAGAGATGCCATAAACAAATTTGCATTTCTTAGGACAGGCACGTTTCAAAGGTTTGTAGGAAGAGATGGTCCGTAACAGAAATTTGTTTTTGGGGTTTCATAAAAAAAAAATTAAATTAATTTTAATATTCAGTTATATTTTGAGATTGTTTCTTTACAAATCTGCATTATCACTTTAATATTAATTCCCAAATGTTTGCCTGTAATAAATTAAAAGCCCACCACAAAATTCCTGAATACGGCTCTTTTCTACATCTTCTTGGTAGTACCACACGCAGTGAAAAATTATTACGGTCGACCACAAAGCTGCTTAACCCTCAATAAAGCTTTGCATACGTCAATCCCAAATATTCCTGGTGACGACTATAAAATTGTAAAAATGGTAGATGCGATATAATTTATTATTAGAAATATGTCAAAAATGTTTTAAACAATTTATTTGGTTTCTATATTTTTCGTTTCTAACTTTGGAAAACCTTGTAACAAAATTCTGTAGCATTCACCCACTTTTGCCCTTGGGCTTACAACAAAAGACCTCGTTATCAAAAGCCAAGTTGTCACGTCCAAGCAAACTTTGTTTACACCACTTCTCACGTTGCGTAATTTATTTGGCGTTATTCAGGTGTCGATCAATACTCCGATAGCCTCTCTTCAGCTTCAATCTATTCTTACAAAAATAATTTTGTTTTAGTCCAACTACCCTTGTCTTTCTCACACTCCCAGAAGACTGAATTGAAACCTCCAGCAGCTGTTTTAATGGCATTACATTACCGGTTCTTTAGAAGCATCGTACCTGGATTAAGAAAATATTTTTCCCGCTTTGACGTAATGAGAACGACAAGCACTTAAGCAAACTAGTTGACAAATAGGCAATAAAAGTGGCGCCGTTTAAATTGAAATTTAGCAGGATGTCAAAATCGAATTCTTCCACAAGAAGCAATTCGATGGAGACACCTGCCGAATGTGAAAGCGAAGTGTGCAGTCCTCAAAGGGACGTTCCTGCTATACTGGAGGCGGCGGAGGGGCAGGAGGTGGTGCCGTCTAGCCCACCACCGTCATATGAATACGTTCTGGAAGAGGCAAGTACTAGATTTCACAACTTTTTTTCCTTAATTGTTTGGGCTTTTGGTTTTTTTACCTTAAATTAAAAAAAAAAACATGAATTGCAATGCATTTTTTTCTTGTCTCAAACACTATTAACATAAATAAAATAAGTTGAATTGTTTTGGCTTATTTGACTTTTACTGACACCTTTTTTCAAATACTTCACAACTTTGTAAAAAAATTAAAAAGTTGTGTCTATATACAGGTGTCCCAGCAAGTTGAAAAAATCCATTAATAACCTTTAAATAGTAAAATTTAAAAAAAATTGTATAGGACACTTTTAGATACTAATCTAGCCTAATTTTATTACCTACCTACCTAAAATTATTTTCAACCATACAGCATGTCCCAAAAATAAGTTACGATACAAACTTGTGTTTTTTTAAATGAAACACCGTATGTTTCTTTGCATTTTTGAATGTAAGCTTTTAAACAATGTTTTTACGCTAAACTTTTATTAGTCGATTTCGCTTAATTTTAGAAATAAGACGTTTTTTGACGAAAACATGCACTTTTAAAAAATTTCTTACACAAAAACTAAGACAGCTAGAACAAAGAAGAAAGTGGAGAATTTAAAGCTGTAGCAGTTTTTTAGTGTTTTGCATTTGTAAAGATTAATGAATTAAGAATTTTGTTAAAAATAACTTAAAAAATTTAAAAGGAACATCCTATTTTTTAGTACCTTTAGCATAATAAGGAGTCCCTGAAATTTTATTTTTTCTTTCAAATGAAACAACAAATCTTGGAAGGACTTACCTTACACTTAACAATTTAATTTTTGCTTGATAGCTTTGAATTTCTTTCTTTACCACTTGCCATAATTGTTTTGCTTCGATAGTTTTTAAGTCTTTCTGTTTATAATTCCCAAAATAAATAAGTTGTCTGATTTTCTATAAAGACAATTCATTTTCTTGCAAGAAATACTATTTTCGATAATGCTACCGTGTTTTTTCACCTCTTTCTTTGCTGCTTCAGGTACAATAATTTGTTGTAAAGCAATTATTTCACCTGTTGCAATACTAAAAGAACTAAAATTTTAAATACTAAAATACTTTTGTTAAATTTGAGCAATTAAAAAAAAATACTTTTTGTAAATGAAGATAATATAAAATAATAAAATTTAGTATCCAACAAACTAAACCAAAGGACGACGTACGTACGAGTACAACCTACTTTAAAAACAATAATGATATGTTGAATTTATCTTGTTTATAATATACAGAGTGCGCCAGAACTCGCGCCCCAGAGAAAAATGCCGTATAAGGTAAGATATTAGGAACATGGAAAAAATGTAAAAAAAATTTTATCTAAAAAAATTTCGAAGTTATGAGGGTTTAAATTTTGCACTTTAACTCTATTTATTTTTGTTGGAAAAATAATTTTCTAAATTTTTTTGTTATAGGCTATTAAAAGAGGAAACAAGGAAGCTATATCCTTAATTGTAACTCATCTGTTCAATGTTATTTGTGTCTTCAATTGGCAAAATTTTTGTACCTTTACCAAATAATGTAAAAAAACATATACAAGATCATCATTAAATAGGCATAAAAAATGTCAAATGTCAAAAAATAAATGTCAAAATTTTTTGACAGATAGAATTTTTTGAACATTTTTTTCATGTTCCTGGTATCTTACATGAAATTTTTCTCTGGGGCGCGAGTTCTGGCGCATCCTGTATATAAACATCCAATTTATATATTTTTTTGTGTTCTTCAACTGCTACATTATGTTTTCGTGTCTTTCGTTTTTCAGTAGTCGTTTTTTTTAATGAATAGGGTGAAAAATCAAAAACTGACGGTACAAAATCATATTTTAGGTAATTTCTACTAAATTGCAAAAGTCAGTCTCTTCTAAGTGCTTGCTACAAATTCACGTGCTACTTTAATTGAATGCAAAAAGCAAAAACATAATTAGGTATGCTAATATTTACGAATAAAAAGAAACACCTCCTTTCGAACAACCATACGCACGATTTTACCATTCTAATAATTTGTAATCATAATTTATAAAATTAAAGTTTTTATGAACGAATTCTTTCAGTTTTTAACACAAATAACGACGAAATCCACTACTATGCACTACAACACATATGGGTCTATCGGGTTTCTTGCGACTCCTGACGTGACTTTCTATTGCGTTCTCTCTGTGTTTATAACGTTATCTCTTTGTCATTGCTCCATCCACTCAAGTACTATATCAATGGTTGATTTATCCAGAGATTGTAAAAGTTGTTATAAATATTGAAATTCGAATTATTTTATTGTAAAAATAAAGAATAATGGATTCAGTTTAACACAAATTTAATTATTAAGTAATATTTCTTCCATCTCTTGTGAAACTATGTACTTTTTGGCAACTGAAACAATAGTATTTTTTTTTAATGTTTAACGTTAAATACTTTTTAGTTATTGATTATAAACACCTAAAAGTAAATAATTTTAGAAAGACAATTTAATAATCTTTGAAATGCAAAAACAATAAATAGGGTGTTCTATTTAATTTTTTTAAATTATTGAACTTTTAACAAACGCCTTCATTTTTTTTATTTGCAAATGCAACACATAAAATGTTACAACCTTATAGATTGTACACTCAGAAAAGTTAAAAATGACAAAAATGTAACTTTGATAATGAATTAATTAATTACTGTAACCGGTATTATCAGCAAAACAATAAAATGCTGCAAGGATTTGCCAAAATTTGGAGCATGGACGACTTCAGGAATGTCTAGCCAACAATGGATATCATTGTTATTTATCATTAATTAGTGATTATGATAAATAAAATATTTGTAAAATCTCTTTTATTGAATAAATAAAATTTTATATTTAAATTTAAAACAATTTTTCTCTTTAATTAAAATAATTATTAATAAAATAATATCTCACGCTTTGAAGTTTTATTATTTTTCATGAATGAGAGCAATAATTCTTTGCAGAATTTAATTGTTTTGTCGATAATACCAATTACAATAATTAATTAATTAATTGTCAAAGTTACAATTCCGTCAAAAAAATAAAACCGTCATTATGATGGGACTTAGAAAAATCCCAAATCAAGAAAGAATTAACTTTTCTTTCCAGTGAGACAGAATAATGACGTTTTAAAATTAAAAATTTACTCGTTTCAACACACTTTACACACGTTTAATGCTAAATGCAAAAGCATTTTTATAACTGCAGTTAGGTAGGAGGACCCAAATAATGAGGGTCGGTTTATGGACACGTCATTTTCAACTTTTCTGAGTGTACTTTCTTTTTTACGGTAGTAGAAATAAATACTTTTAGATGTCTTAATTTTTGTGTAATAAATTTTTAAAAAATACATGTTTTCGTCAAAAAAACTTATTTTTAAAACTAAGCAAAATCGACCAGTAAAAGTTTAGCTTAAAAACATTGTCATATAGGTAAATCTACATCTAAAAACGCTAAAAAACATATGGTGTTTTATTTAAAAAAACACAACTTTGTATTGTAACTTATTTTTGAGACACGCTGTATAGTTGAAAATAATTTTAGGCGATAAACTAGATTAGTATCTATCAATGTCATGTATAATAATTTTTTTTAATTTTACTATTTAAATGTCACTAACGGGCTTTTTCAAGTGGCTGGGATAAACTGTACGTATAAAATTAACACATTTTTTTTGTTAAAAAATGATTAAACTAAGAGTGTTTATTTTTCCTTAATTTCGTGCTTTTCGAAGACAGTTTTTTTGACACTGAATAGAAACAAATATTGAGCTTGTTATTTATCGATGAATCCTACGGTATGATTAATGTAAACAACTTTTCTAATAAATGAAAGTTTGTAACATCTTGTTTGATAAACAAGGCATTTTTGTAATGAGGTTACTGATAGAATTTTGAGAAAAAGTTGAATTATGCGAAAACTTTCTTAGGTCACAATTTCAAGCATAAAATCCAGTATCGCATCCGAGAAGAATGCAAATCGAAGAAAACAACAAAAACCTAATGAAATTTCAGTCTATAATTCACTTCCTTATTGTCTGAAACGCTAATCCTTTCAGAAATTCAAGAGAATTTGTCCCCAGAGGCCAAAGCTTAGAACTTCGATTAAAGCAAAGCGTCTCACCGCACATTATGCGAGAGAAATAATAAAGCACTTTAGTGGAAAAAACCTGAGTAATTTTCTGGTTCCTTTTTTGTTCCAGACGAGACTCAAAGCCCAAGCGGACGCTTCGTCGCCCGTCAATCCCATCAAAGGTCCGGAAATAATGCACAAGTCGAGTAAAGAACTATATCGAGCCGTGGCCAAACAGTTCGGGATAACATGCAAAATGTCGGATCAGTGTCGTTGTTTCGATTGCCAAAGCCATTATTTTGATTGCGAATACGAACAGAATGAACAAGAAAAAACAGATGGAGGCCTTGGAGCTGGAACACCAATGTTCATATCTGAAGTAATGCACGGCACTGCCTGCACCATATTGTAACTCTATTTTATCGAAAACTGATCGAATTTTCAGGGCGGAATGCCGACAGAGCTTTAATATTCATACGTACCTAATCAAAAATGTTAAAAGAAAATGTCGGGCTTTACAGTGAACGCACACAACATTTTATTAGGTTTGTTTTTTTACGTAATTCTTGTTAGATTGTATAGAAACCTAGCATTTATTATAATATTAAAGTAGTTCGTGTTGTAAATACAAAAACACTTGTAACATATAGTGTGGGATAGGTGCTTTCAAAAGATCTCAATTTGAAGTTGTATTATGCAAAGAGGTGGCCTAACAGACCTTCACATCTTGTAAATTGTTGTTATTACGTATTAACGGATGAATTGATGTAAAGTAGAGTGTCGTGTTAATTTTCATATAACTGGATTTATTTATTACCGGTACAGACTATATAAAGTAAAAAGAAAACAGCCATTAGTGACTTTTCTAACTCTGAATGTTCCATTCCTAAAGTTGGTGTATGTCTTCAGATATTACTATTTTCATACTATATCATGTATGTTATTAGACTAGTCGTAGTCTTAAGAGTGCAGAATAAGTGAAAATGTAAACGATTGCATAATCGATTCAATTTCAAATACCTGTTGTTGGGAACATTGTCAAATTATACGATTAAGCTATTGGTTTATTACTTTGTAATTGGCAACGGGAGAAAACTAAAAGACAGGGTGTCTTCGAACTGATTAAAATAATTGTAGATTAAGTCCTTTAAGTCCTTTTTTGATCCACTTTTATTGTATTGTCCATTAAATATGACTGTCCTACCGTTTTACATTGTTTGTACGCCCTGTAATAACCAAGCTTAAGATGTGTGGCAGAAAACTAAGGTCATATGTACTACATTAATTATACTTGTAATGATAGGTACATAATTTTGTGTTCAGTATATAATACCTAAAACTACTTAAAAGTAAACAAAAAAAAAACATAGGGCCTATTATATAAGGTAAAAGCTAATGGAAACCGCACCAAAATATCTTTCGCACGTATATTTTGTATATCGGAATTGCAGATAATCGTGTGATATTTTAATTTACCTAATAGTTATTACTGTAAATGTTTTCGGTTTTGATTGAATAAAATGGTCAAAATGGTCAATGCTCTTTTGTTGCTGAACCTACCAAAATATGATTGAATAAAACAAGTCACTTTAGTAGTAAATGAGGCACTTTCGACCGATTTTAATGACTTTTGATTGACCTTAATGTTAATTAATTATACTAATTAATGCTATTAATTAAATTTCAATTAAATTAATTTTTCGATTAATGATATCAATTAAATTAATTAGTTTAATTAATTTCTCGATTAATGGTAGCAATTATTTTTTTTTAATTAACGATATTAATTTTATTTATTTAATTAATTTTATTTATATTGATCAATTTAATCGGTTTTTTAATTAATGATATTAATTATTTTATTTCTCTTTTCATATAACAACTAAATTATTCCATATGTATTGTCTATCAATTAGGAAAATTTTTGCATTTGTCAGCACTGGGGAAATCAATCTCAGTAATGAGTGCAAGGAATACAGATAATTTCATTAAGCAAAATTAAGGTTAAATGTAGTGAAACTTAAATTATTAATTATAAATAAATTAGCCTATGTGAATATAAATACATTTCATGTTGGTGAAAGAATCAGTAGCAAGCTTCAACTGATTCTCTGCAAGTGTTCACCAGGTGTAGTGTAATACTTTCCTCGCTACACTTTTGGCCGCTGCACTTTGGATATTTGGAAAGAAAAAATTCAGAAAAATATTCAGTGTTGTTCTCGTGTTTGTTCGTGAAGAAGACATCTTCGTACATTGTGTAACTGTTCTCCGGTTAAAATTAAGGTAAGCTTTTAAACATTATATTAAATAAATATTTATTTAGTGTTGTAAATTTGTGTTAGATGCAACTGTACCTTTGAAAAATGGTCGAAATTATTTATTATTATTCTCTAAATGTTTAGGAGACGCCACAAGCGAATAAGTAATCACTAATCAGATTT